GATTTCTATAAATCTCGAATTTAGGACTCTCCAGTTCAGGGTATTTCTTTCACAAAAAGCCCAAAATTGCGGACCTATTTTGGACAGAGGCGGGCGGTTACTTTCAGAAATGAGCGCTTAGTATTATTGCTATTTTGAGGGTATCTTCGTTCAAAAGCGAATAAAAAAAATTCGTGGCTGGCCCCCATGAAATTGAAACGAAAAGTGATCATCTGGCCATAATCTTGAATTTCCAGTGAAAAAAACGGAAGCCAACTTCTTCACGAGAGTCAACAGGCGGCGCTATTTCGGTCCGATTTTGCACTCACTATGGGCTGGTATATGGGCCATTTTCCAATACTCAAATTCGTCGCGTCTCAGGCTTCAACTGTTTTTTTTACAACCTGACTTTAAAGCAGTAAGAGCACTAATTAGTCTAATAGTGCCACAAAACATAAAATGATATGCAAGAGAACCAAAAATTACAGTAATCCAATGTAATTTTAACGCTTCAGGCACAATCGGAGATTGGTGTTGAGAACGACGTCCGAGACGGAGACGGAGTATTGGAAAACGGCCTTGGAGTAGTGTAACGTAGGGTGCAGACCACTAATTCAAGTGAGAATTTCCGGCCAGCTCATCAGCATTAAAAGTGGCCCCCGCAGTATCTTTTGAAAAAGGAGATTGTTTGGCCCCAAAAATGGTGAGATTATGTAAATCATTGCCGGGATCATCTCCCTGCGTCTTTTAGCTTTGAGATGAGAGCAGAAGGGCTAAAAACTACGGTTAAAAATGGTCTTAAGTGCCCGAAAAAGTTTAGGGTTGCCACTTGAAAAATGGCTGCAATCAGACTTCGAAAAAATCACTTTTTGGGGGGGTGATTTGGTTTGTGGGAATAATTTAAAATGTAGTTGGTTAACCCACAAAAAATTGAAAAGAAATTGAAAGATAAGTGACAAGACAAGAATTTCATTTGTGTTTCAGAAATCTCAGAGATGTTGGCGTGCATGCTATTGGGCCCTGAACAGTGCTGATTTTACACTGTTTTCAATGGGTCTTGAATTAGTGGACTGTACCCAAAAACATTTGTTGGTTGGAGACAGTGTCAAAGGTCATATATACACAAACTTTATCACGGTACGCGGTACGCGCACGGTGCACATATTAGGCCTACTAATGTGACCGTTCATGTACATGTACATGTCTGAAGACCAGTGCTCCTCCAGACCTGCACCTGACCAGGCTATGAATAAAACCATTATGCCCAACCAGAGGAAGTAAGCTAGCGAATAGGGGCCTGGTGCGTTTTTCCTGGCATGCCTGGCAAGACATCTAGCTACTTCTTACTAGAAACAAATAGGCTTAGGGCCTAATTCAGTAATTGACAAAAGGTAGGTTATTTTGTATAGCCTAGGCCTTAGTTTAGTGCCACTACAGGCACTAGTGTGGGACGGCCTCTCGCTCCTGCTCCATCCTAAGATCATAGAGCAAGGAACAGTTCCTTGCGCTAAGCTAAGATGGAGCAGGAGTGAGAGTCTGAGCCATACTAGTGGGGCTAGGCCTGAGTTAGGCCTACTTCGAGAACTCAAAGTCCCTCTGTGTGACTGATGAGCGAGCACAGTTTACATGTAGGCCCACTTGTCATGCTTTTACAATCTGTGTCTTTTCTGTGTTGGCGACAGAGAAGAGACAGATTGTAAAACAGAGCCACTACAGCTCTACGTGTGGGCATGGTGGAGCTAAGTTTACATGGTGCAACCATCTTTTCCTACCTCCATGGTGCAACACCATGGGTGTTTGGAATCGATTTTGATAGGTGAATAATAAACAGGTAGAACAACAAAATATTCGATCCAATTTTCCCTTGACAGAAAACTTGAGTTATAGGCTCTTGAAAAAGGAAGGAAAAAATTTCAGACTAAATCAGAGCATGAGACGAAGAATTTTTTTGAAGAAAAAAAATTGATTTAGAAATATTGAACGTTTCGTGGTCCGGTGAAATAACAATTCTCTCATGTTAAATTCCACGAAATCAAAAGAAGAAATCTTTGATTTTAGGACATCTCATCCTCATACGGAACCAATAGTCCTAAATGATGGGATTATTGAAATTGTAGACAAACATAGGTACTATAACAGACAGTAAACTTGATTGGATTCCCACACAAAGGCAACTTTCTCAAAACCAGAGTGTACCTTTTGAGAAAACTGAGAGCAGCCCAGGGTTCAAGACCAGTTCTTAGCCTCTTTTACAAGGCAGTAGTCGAGAGTACTCTCATATCCAATATTATTGTCTGGTATACGGCATCTAGGAAGGAAGATAAAGAGAAATTAGAAAGAATTGCAAAACTAGCCAGCAAAATGATCGGAGAACACAGACCACTAAACAATGTATGCAAGACCGGAATGTGGGAGATGGCACATGTAAAGGAAATTCTACTCTTCGACTACTACCAATTCATGCAATCAGGAAAACAACTCAGACACATCAGATCATTGCCCTCCCGAACCCCATGATTCCTAAAGTCCTTTGTTCCCACCTCAATTCGCACTTAAAACTCATATTTGTAATAATTTTCTTACAACACATTCCCCTGACTCGTATAGTTCCCCTACTCCTAGCTTTACTCTGAAGAATACTAATGATAATGTTAATTCCCTCAATTAATGATATGAATGTTTGTTTTTCTAAACACCTGTGTAGTTTTGTAATAATATGTAAAAGCGAACAAAGCAAATTTCCTTTTATGTTTTGCATTTTTTGACAAATACAAACTGAACTGAAAGTTTTTATTCACCAATCTCTTGCTTCCATCTGCCAATGATTGCTCCGTTCACTCTCTGAAACCTTGTTCCCTCTTTTTTCAAAGAGCTGAAGTTACTGTCACGGAAAAAAATTGATTGAAAAGCTTTGTTCCACCTTTTGATCATTCACCTATCAAAATCGACTGTAAAAACCCACAGCGTTACGACACCATGTAAATTGTATTGGCTCAAAGTCACACAGTTTGACGGAGTAGTGACTTTGAGTTCTCAAAGTACTCTCCTTGCTTAAACTTAAAAAGTGACTGATGATTCTTGTCTGCTCGTGTTCATTATTGACAATGTTATAGGCCTTGGCGTACTCCATGCTACAACTAGGCCTACCAGGTGGTCAACCCCGGTGACTGGTCGGAGGCTGTTCAACCTATTACACATGGGATAGCCCTCCATTTCAGTTGTAGGCCTACGTACATGTAGCCTAGGCCGACGAGGAATTGTCTGTTTTGTTAATTTTTTAACAGCACTAAAAAATGAAATGGCCCCAGTCCTATTTTTACAGTAATATCTTTTTGGGGTATAATTAATGTGGGAAATAATTTTCTTTATTTAAATAAGCCACATGTACACAGATTCTTGACCAATCAGAATCAATTAAACTGTCTGGTATTCAGGTGGCAGCACATGATTTACACAGCGGGCATTATCAATTGTTAATACACAGTCAAGTTTCACGATTTTGGTGAATAGGGAGACTGTCTGAGGTGTGAATTAAAAGGGTAATATGCCCCTTAGCATTATTCAAATGTTACACAGAAAGTGCCTGAAATAAAAGTTGTACTCTAAAGACAATAAGCCTGAATTTAGATTGTTTCCACAACACTAACATTATTCATTCTCCTTTGAGTCCAAAGGATGCAATAAATAACATACAATGTATTTTGGCATTTGAGTTATTGAATCTGGGGACACGTGATTCCAGTGTACCCTGTTCTTTGGATGGAAACATACCGGGGTACTGTAGATTTATAAAGACTCGTTTTGAACTAGGAAGTGCAGTGCATTTTAATTACAGATTTTTCCCTTCCCCCAGCACACCGGTATGTATTTATAAATACTGTATACACAGTGCTTGTCTGAGAGCTTGCGAAAAAATTCATAAGCTTACTCGGGTCGGACTCGGACCCATGACCTCCTGCTTACTAGTGCAGACATCTTAACCACTTGACCATCGAGCTTGCCGGGGTCGACTGGCTGGTCCGAGTCAGATGTAGCAGCGGGTACCGTGAACTATTTCAAGATGTACTTTGTGTTGGGGAGACGTTATTTTTAATTACGGGTTTTGCCCTAACCCAACGTATATATTTATAAACACTGTACTCAGTGCTTGTCCGAAAGCTTAGAAAAAATTAACAAGCTTACTCAGGTGGGACTCAAAGCCACGACCTACTGCTTACTAGTACAGACGTCTTAACCACTTGACCACCGAGCTTGCCAGAGTTGGCTGAAAGTTGTTGAATCCTATTTTCATAGTTTTACCTCTTTGTTGTGACAGAATCTGTCAATTCTTTGCAGATAATAGCATAGAGTACACTGGTAAGTCAGATCACTTGTATTTGTTGTAAATGTAAAGGAAGTGAACATTATGCCCCTTCATCCCCTTCAAACAAAGAGATTTGAAGATAATCGAAAGGCTCACATTGTGGGGCTTTATTATGCTAAGCAAGGTATGAGTACATGTATGCATTTTAATCAGAGCAGATTAAAAGCTGTACGTACATGTACATGCACATGTACATTGTAACTGCACATCTACATGTACGTGTGTGTGTACCCAATACCTTTCAAATTCCTTGCAGGTAACTTTAACCATTACAGATAACAAGTGCAGTCTTGATTCAATTAAAAATCCAATGCATTGCTTTGGATGCTCCATGTACAATGTACATGTACTGTATGGTACTGTTCAACTTAGACTACTGTACATGTACATGTACATTGTACTTGCAGGTGTTCAACTTAGACTACTGTACATGTACATTGTATGTACATGTACATTGTATGTACATGTACATGTACATGTACGGTGTTCAACTTAAGACTACTCTGCATTGTACTACGTGTACATACGCAGGTGTTCAACTTAGACTACTGTTCATGTGCATACATGTACATATGGGTGTTCAACTTAGACTACTGTACATGTATGTACATGTACATATGCAGGTGAAACCCGGTTGTCCTGTGTTGAATGGGCTGTGTTACATAATTGCAGTGTTAATGTTGTGGCCTGTTACCGTGGTGATACATTGTGCAAAGGTCAAGAATCGAGATTTATTGAAAATTCACATATGGTATATAATTGACATGGATCAGTGACTCTGGCTTTACCCTATGGTTATTTCAAATTTAATTGAGAGGATTCTTGGCCTTATTCCAAAACTGATATTGAAATACATGTCAAGATGTAGAATTAGCTAGCAATACAGTGAAAGGTAGATCATGTGTAACAGCATTCAATGTACGCATGTATGTATGGACAAGCACAAATTTGAACAGAGTGCATGTACATGTATAATGTACATGGCTCATGTGGCTATTATCTTCTTTGTTTTAAACTCCTTCCCTAAGCAGTGTTGCCAAACTATGACTGGCTTCAAACTTATTCCTTTTTATGCCCATTCCATTGTCTTAAATAACATGTAAACTTAAGGCAATGACATGTAGATTGTAACTACTGGTAGTATACGTGTAAAGTTATGTTTATTCCAAGGACATACATGTAAGCACTGTTGTTGACTGCATCTTACTACCAGATGTACATGTATGGCTCAGCACTTAAATGGAAGATGGGTTGATAATGATACATCCATATATATGTAACAATTACCGGTATGCTTAGTAATTACTGGTAGCTTTTTCTTTCCAAAATACTATTACAGCTTCCCTACAGGCTTCAGTAGTTAGGCCAGCATTTTTTATACTGAATCACGAATACATTGTATGGAATCTTGGCAGGGTCAGGGATAAATAAAATGTAAAATGTTACATGCAAGTAACAGTATGCATTAAATAAGTTTCATTTAGATGAATTTCTTCCATGTTCATATCTCCCAACTATGTCATTTATTCGAGTATTTGGTTTAATGTGCAGGATGAAGAGCATTGAGCAAGACACTTCCTGTGATATTGACCAAATGACAGACTCAGATGTATCACAGAGCAGTTCTACCCTGCTTCCCAGAAGACCTAAGCAATCTCGGCACAAGGTACATGTAGTACATGTATTTGATCAGTTTTCACTGATGTCTCTTTTCACTTTTTGCCACTAGAGTTGCTGTCTACTATTCCCGTCCACTTTTGAACAGTTATACAGAATTTGTTGATTCCTTAATGATTCTAATATCTTTAGTTTTACATAATAACCACACTTACCTGTAGTATACTGAGATCATTTCTCGACCATTGTTGGCAGTAGTATTCCACAACAAATTTAAAAGTTGTCCCAGGCGAAGCACTTTTGGCCAGATATACCGATAATGTTGGACTTTACAAATGCTGACTATTGGTAGTCATTTTTTTAGTGTTTGTGTAACATTTCTTACCACACTGTCACTTTTTTCCAACTCAAAGACTACATGTTCATTGTTTGCCAAGGAGCGATATTTGTTGCCATGCCCAGCCATTGCCATGGCTACTTGAGGGAATCCAAACATGCTCAACCACCATGGAATACATGTAGTTCAAACCTCTGTGTGTGTCTACAAAGCAATGAAAATTACTCAATTGAGACTTCATGTTTTGATAATTGTTGACTGCAACAAAGGAATTTTTGAACATTGAACATATGAATCTTTAAAACATTATGTTATAGGAATATTTTGTTTGTTCCATAGCTCTTAAGAGTCATTTCACGTAAATACATGTATTTGACACATGTCCATGGTAAAAAAATACTTTGTAAACTGAAAGGACTAGGGGTGGAAGTAAACAAACTTGACTTTTCAAATCCACACGTAACCCGTTGTCATGGAAACAGCTCATTTTGTGTTCTTGGCTTTTAGGCCGACTTACATGTAGGGCTCTGAAAAACTGGTTTTTAACTACATTTATATAAGGTCTACCCAACTAAAATACAAAAATATTTCACAAACACATGTGGGCAATTCCACCATTACAGACGTTACAGTCATAGACAACTTCAAACATTTAATTGATAAACAAATTTATTTGTAATTGGAAGAACAGTTTATTTCTACTTACACTTGTAGAAAACATGTTAGTGTTTAACATAATAAAATTATATTGTTTTAGCTTTATTAGTTAATTCACCACAATTGTAGGAAGCGAGCGTTACAGATGTTACACATTATGACATGGCCTTTTTGCATATTGAACATACACGTAATGGTAAAACTCTGTGTACTTACTGTACTTCTGTATTTTTTACTACCTATTCCCAAACAGGTCTGACTTCACTCTGTGTAATCATAAACAGCAAGTTTGAATTAAACACTTTGTATTGTCTAAGTAGGCTAATTAAGTTGTTATGGATGTTACGTATTGGTGCTATGGACGTTACGTATATACATGAAAATGCAAGGGCACAACATCTATTAACAACTTTCTTTTAAACATACATTTGTGTATACATCCAAGTAATTAATGTGAAGTGATGATGCTACAAGGACAGGGAAAGAATATCCTCAGTTTGAGGTACTTGTACACCCCCACACCCCTCAAACACACCCCTACACAACTTGAACTTGAAGAAAGATAAATAAGCACTTTTTGGTCAAAAATGGGGTATAATTTAAACCTGGTGGAATCGGTTTTCTTCACCACCATAACAGGATAGAAAAGTAATTTTACAATGTTTTGATTGTTGCTTTTCTTAGGGTGCTAATTCTCTTGTACACTGGAGAGGAGCCATTCTGTTTATTTTTAGCTTTGAGTTCTCAATATTTTCGAACTCTGTTTCCAACATTGGTTCTCTGATCACTAAGCTCTTGTGGTGTCAATTTTTCTTCTAACATTCTTGCTTTTCCGTTGGGCATCTTTCTTCTTTTGTTCCTCAAGCTTTTCAGGATTGTTTTTAAGTCTCTTACAAAACTCCCTGACTCGCTCTTTACTGGTCTTTCCCATTCTGAAAATAATAATCAGGACCATTGAATTTTGTTACAATTACTGACATTTAAAGTTTTAATTTATTTTTTTTAACAAATGATAATCAAATGAAGATTATGAAGCATATGCAGTAAAAGAGATTTAATAAGAGGGTAAACCAAACAGAGTTAAAAAATTAAGGTCAGCCTAAATTGTTTGTACTGATACATGAATGTTGCAGGGTCCCTAGTTTTTTTATTATAGCCACATTAAAATTATAATCTAATCAACTCTAATGATACAGAATCTATATAATCTATATAATCCTTATTACTAGATTAGTTATTAAATTTTCATTTTTTTTCTTCTAGAATATGGTTTTATATTTAATATTGAGAAATGTATGGTATACTGGTACATGTACTTTATTGGCCTGTGTACACACATAATATCTTTTCTTGAAACTTTTTATAGGCTAATATAGGCCTACATGTACCCACTATGGCTTGGCTGTTAAATAATACACAATTGAATTATTTGCAATTCATGTACAATACTCAAGGATAATTTTTAAAGATAAAAATGTGAACATTCACCTGAATATCAGAAGAAAAGATATAAAATTTTACTCTACAGGGCTGTCTAAATATTGTCAGCTCAACATGTGCTCATCAGTATCCAAATCCTGA